TTCGACCATTTTGGTCTGAAATAGGGTATGGTTTGTGCACTCTAGTCTTGAATTGGGTATGTTTTTTAAAAGAACCTACTTGTTCATCATTTGGTGATTAGACCATTTCCCTTGTCATGTTTACGCCAACCGTGTACGTGCGTAACAGCTCGTCACGCGCTCCGGTCACGCGCCAGGCTCACGGGCTTCAGGTCTGAAATAGGGTATAAACGTTTTTATCAGGTCCGAAAAAGGGTAGGGAAAATCACAGATTTTGGTCTGAAATAGGGTAAGGGTTTTAGGAAGCGTGCCGCACACCCCCACCCAATTTTTCTGGAAGTACCCCCGGGGTTTTTCGTCGTATTTTATACACAATTGGGGGGTCATTGTGCCAGGCGTTCCTTGTGGAGACTGTGGAAACTGGGACTAAGAATCGTTGCATGATCGAAGCGACTCATGTTTTGCGAAGAAAGCTTAGAAAAGATTAAATTCAGAGCTTTTCCGAAACGCATCGGTCCACGAATTCTATCGCTTGAAAGCATTGATTACTTTGGAACAAGTGTACACTACTGAGTGGTTGAAAAAAAGAATCTTAAGAATCTTAATTAGCAAAACTGCGATAGTCGGGTGTTGTACGTAAACTTTCATTGTTTGAAATGGGCCTTGTGATGAGCATGCGTTTTATTTTCGGCGATGACTGAAATGACGTGCCATGTAAATCACTTTTTTGATCTCTGGCAATGATGTAATCTCCCTGGAATCGAGGCCCTTGAATTTTCGTGTTTGTGTATTTATACACGCGTATAGCCTGCGACCGCACACGTATTTCCGGTCGTCGCTAACACGCGTACTAAATCAATTCAGAAACAAATAAAAAGTATCGACGTCGATAAAGTAGGAAGTAAAAAACCTTCAGCGAGTAAATCGTGTTTCGTATAGAATTAATCGCCTCCTATTTCTCGATCTAGTCTCCAAGCAAGCGAGACGGACCGCGGCTGTAAGTGAGTTCTTGTTTCGTCTACTTTATACATTTCTTTACTGAGTGTGTTATCTTTTTGCAATTATTGCGAGCATTTAATAGCCGCGTGTTTCAATTAATCCTTCTTAAGTTTTTTTTTTTTTGTTTTGTGTTTTTATAATGATAAGTCAAGGCTGTCCCTTGAGTCTAGCTATAGAGCCAATTCGTATGCAAATGTAGGCTTGTTAACTCGCATAATTAACTGACTGACGGCGCGTGAAACAAGACAATGAACTGACGAAGCGCTAAGACGTCAACAGTTAGTCGTTTCTTCGAGATAGAACAGAGAAAACGGTTTTGTAATAGTCAGTCAAAATTGAAATAAAGAGTTTTCAGCTCCACTTTCTGTATGTGTGTGTGTGTGTTTTGTTTATATATCCGATTTTTAGAGCTAAATAGAGGACATGAGCCGCTTCTCGCATTGCTAGGTGATCGCCGCTCCTCTTATTCCTACGTTTTAATAGACGGTTCGACAAACCGGGCTAAAGTTACTAAACGGGTAAGTCTAGTCAAGCCTATTGTTCCTATTGTATAGGAGAGACGCTCATTACGTATGGAGGAACGCCCTTTTTCCCTAGGTTATAACAATGGATTACTTCATGGAATCGACCCTTGTGCCTATTAATAAAAGGCAACGCAAAGGGATCGCAAGGGATCTCATAAATGCGGTCAAATTTTAACATAGTACACTACAACAAAGGAAAATTTTAATCGGGAAAGTTCCATTTACAGTTCAGTAGCACGAATACGTCTAATATTTGGTATTAGTAAAATCCAACTAGTGGTCTATTATCAATGCTGCGTTCTGATTGGCTGAGCTACTGCTAGGCTATATGTTATAGCCCACTAGTAGCGAAAAGCGCCAGCTTCTTGGAGGTAAAAAAGAATTAAAAGTCTAGCTTTAACTAGATAAAGTTGTTTTGTCTCGATATTTTTTACCAACTAGTTGGAGTTTACTAAAACAATTATTCCTCTCGCCCTCATGGCCTCTTAGTCGATAGCCCATTCAGGCTCGAGGAATAATTGTTCATTATTGCATTCACGAACCCTCCTTTACTTTAAATGTATAGTAGCAGACGCGGGTCTAGGATAAATACTGACAAATTCCTAAATGAGCCCTTAAGGTGCAAGCTTCTAGCAGGGTGCGGGAACATGCTCTCCCTGGAAATTGTTTGGATTTTAACTCCCGAAATTCTTCTTTTCTGGCTTTTTTAGTCATTCAGACAGGATATTGGCCAGTTCCATTCTCCTCCAGATTCCTTCATAAAGCCTTGCGTTCGGCGGATTATATCATCAAGGTCAATTTTCATGTTGTGGATATGGATCAAAGCGAGTCCTTTAAATCTACAGATCTCAACTGGGAAAGATTTTTTTTTATCAAAATCATTTATTTAGAAGAATCTGACCGATTTCTGTAAAACGATGCAGAACGGTGTGGATCCGCGCCCGGAGAGGCTGGTAAATACGGGACTCATTAGTATTTAAGTTTCCTTGCTTGAACATGTAATGCTTCGTTTAATTCTCGCTTATTGCCATTCGTCCAGACTTTCACTCTACCTCCACAGGCCTTAAACATCCTTAAACACAGAAAACTGTACTAAGTTTGCAATGTTTTTAATTGCAGGCCCTTGTTGCCGTGCTCCCAGGGACTCACATGCAGTATTTTGATTTTAATGCAAAATCATGGAAATCACTGACATCCTTAGCGCCATTAACTGAGTCAACATCTGTCTTTTGTGCAGAGTCTTTTGGTTGCAAAATTATTGTTGCTGGATCAACTGCTGATAACAGCTACATTTATTGCAGTTATGATTTAGAGAACAACGTCTGGAAAAAACAGTCACAATCTCATGGAGAATTAAGCCATCTATGTACCGTAGGAGACTACATGTATGCTATTAATTCCAAATGTACTAAGATTCCTCAGAGGTATAGCTTTTCTGAACGACAGTGGCAAAGTTTTGCAAAAGTAATTGTGCCATGGGGAGTTGCTTTTTTTGATAGTGGGACGGCTGTGCTCCATTCTAAGGTGTTTGTACTTTATGGGAAGGGATTATATAAAGACAATGATAGGTGGGTTGTGCAGAATGCAGTGCTGCTTTGTTTTGACCCAGCAAAGAATATGTGGAAAGAAAAAGCATCAACCTGCCATCCTCATTTTGGGTCCAGTCTTTTTGTAGTAAATGGTAAACTTTATGTTGCAGGGGGTAAGCTTAGTGTTAATCCCAGCGGTCCACCGCGTGGTGACCGAGCACCCGTAGAAGTTTACGATGAAGAAAGCAATAAGTGGTCCGTTCTGAAACAAGAACGTATTCCAGAAAACAACCTTGGTGCAGTGGAAGTAGAAGGGAGGGTTTATTTCATTATCAACAAATTTCCAATTGATAGTGGCATTAGAATCCCACCAGGAGAGATTTATCCTGTTTCCTTGCACAAATGGGAAAAACTTGGGAAAATTTCCAACAAAGGAGCCTTGTGTTATGCGCCATTAAAGCGAGAGCCTATACAAAGTATTGTTAAGTAGTGTTTCGGCTGTGTTTAAAAGTAACACAGCTTGAACTGACTTAGCAGAACCCTCGCGATTACAGCCAGCTAAACAAATCATAGAATACATATATAAACATTAGTTCTAATATTATTTTAGTATGGGAAGTAAGTATTTTTTTTTTTTCAAGCTATAATATCCGGCACATTAAAGAGTCCATAAATGTACCTGGAGTTTTGAAAACCGGGTTAGCAAAAAAATCAACTCATTCTACTACTTAGCAATTTAAAACAATAAAAAATCATTCAATGCAAGGGCCGATTAAAAGCCTTCATCTGACGCCGGGCAGAAGGTTAGTCATGGTCCCTAGAAGCATTTCAACTAGTCTAAATTTAAAATGACGCAAATTTTAGAACGTTATTTTATTCAGTAATCTGACTCTGTGAAGTTTCAAACCGGTGTCATTTCAGTCTAGAAATTTTTAAGTTGATTGAAATGCAACCAAAAAGTGCCTGGTTAAGGCTTACATAACCACTAAATAGTTAGCGGAACACTACTTTTTACGCGGTCCGATAAATGACAGAATTTCGCATGTAATAGACAAGAAACTGATTGAAACATAGTACACAAACAAGAGAGAATGACACAAATTATCACCTTCTTATCTGCCAAAACCGGCCTATGGTTTAAAGCCAAGAGCCCGCTGGAACTACACCTAGATCAGTCCAATTTTCCTGAGTCGAGAATTGGTTTTCCAAGGCACAATCAACTAAGCTAAACACCTACTAAACGATTTTTTTGGCTGGCACAGAATATTTTGGTGAAACAGCCGGAACAGATCAACCACGTGACTGACATACCTGAGTTCTGCCTCAGTCAACACCCCTGGTCAACGCCATCCGAAAATCACAAAGTCGCGGCACTGATACGACTATCCACAACGACGCATAATCTTCTTATGTATAACGCAAGCGAAATATCATCAAATAAAGCAGAAAAACGTAGCCTATTGGCAGATAGACACCTCTAGACTTTCCTCTTACACTCGTCTTATTTAAGGTCCCGGATGTACCGTCACGACGGTCGACAGACCAGCATAGACCCTGTTCTCACACCAGACACACCACACTTGGCTCGGGTCAAAGTTCACCTGCAATTTTGACTCCTATAAGCATGTTCCCGAAGCCAAAAAATTAAAGGGTTACCATAGAAAAGCAACCGCAGTCGTCCCCCGGGCTTTTCTTTAAAAAAAAAAAACGGGAGGGGCACCCCTCCCATTTTTTTTAGGGAAAAGCCCTGGGGACCAGGTTGCTTAGAAAAGAGGACAATATCGTACCTTTCTGTCTGAACCCGGATCAGGGTGATCGTTTAGCCAAATGAAAAGAGAATACAATTCGATGAAGGACGATGCAGACTCTGCGAATCGTATTAATTTTTTCAAATCTCAGAGCTTTACATGATGCTCTCCGGGAAACTTTTCTCAAGGTGACCAACAACGAAATATAAGCTGCTAAACGGCACCGAAACCAGCTTTAGGCGCGCACTACTTTTAAATAACTGTCACTTGTGTTAGACAAAGAATTCTGGGTAGGGACGGAGCAACACCCTCTAGGGAGAGATGGGAGGAGGGGTTAGAAAGAACGCGAATTCGCGAAATTTCCTCTACAGCCACTTCTGCACAAATCCCTAACCACAAAACAAGAACAAAAAAAGACATAAGCAAAAACACTGTAAACGAGCTAAGATAGGGGAAGTTGAGAGAAATTAAATTACTAAATGTTTGCTAACCCGGTTTTCATAAATCCAGGTAGAATGATTACATTAATAGATGACATTACGTCTTACATTACAATTCCCCGTGTTTCGTACGTTTTTTACTGAAGATAGATCACAGCCGCCTCAGAGGCAAGAACTTCAATAAACGTGTGAGGATCCATGTGTCCTAATAACGAATAAGGACTACAATTTTAAGTAGTGGACAGGAATTGTCCTTTTCCTCTAGTTAGTTTGTAACAGTAACTTAAATAATTGGTGTAATGGTACTTGACGTACTTGTAGATATGAAACAAAGCGATTTTTTTCAGGTTTTCAATGGTTTCAATATTGTGAGAGATTGTGGGAAATTGAAAAATGATAACAAGAACTCTTCATCAGGAATACACAGTCTTTACATCACCGGTAACTAAAATTGGTACCAATTACTTTATCAGACTAATAAGTCAAATAATACCCATGAAAATCAATTATCAAAACCACCCGTTAGACAACCGGGCGATGCATTCGTTATCAACCAGGGCTGATCGTGAGACCACATGCCACTTCACGGGAAACATAGTGAGAAGGTACCACGTTTTTAGACGCTGGCAACGCTGGAGGAGCCCAGACAAGAGGCAATAAGAGAGCACATGAGAGCTTTGTTCGAATGAGAGTGTTAAGCGGCAATATAGCTATAGTGAAAATTCGTGTTCCTTTCGACTTGCTAGATCCATTACACCGCAGATGAATTTCAGGTGACACTGTTGTCAACCTATAAGGCTAGTCAGCGATCCTTCGTGCACCTTTTGATCACGGTTAAACAGCTTTAAACGCTCGACTTTCTACACAGGGTAAAATCTCCAGCTCTGCTTTAGTTGAATGCAGAATTTGATTAGAGTTTGTAACCTAGTTTATATGATGTCCTCCACCCTATTCTCCTCCCGGAAAGGATAAGCCGGGGTAGTCGTACTTATAAAGCAAGCATTACCTTGACGACAGTATTAATCGAAACGATCTGTTTAATTCGAAATAAGGCCACTTCACTTGGATTACAATATTCTTCTTGAGCATGGAGAGAGATTTTGATACAACTGGTCCTAGATACAAATGATGATCAATAAAAAGCCGTGATTGGCCATAGTCATAAACTTTGCTGGTTTCAGAATGACAGCAAGAGAGGATCATCCTTTCTTGATGACAATAAACATCATTTACAAGAACGTATAGTGATATCTATTTTCATGCTAAGTATTAAATGAACACTGATTAATATTCCAAAATGTCAAAAAATATCTCTGGGACAAGGGTAGAACCTGCTTTGTAACCATTCAGTCACTATTCTAAAATATGTTTCACGACAATTTAAGATTTAGAGCTCGCGTGATCGGGATTGTTAAGTCACGCGATTCTTTAATCATCTAGACTACGAGCAGTCTCTCTTTTTTCTTGGTCCGTCGAGCAAAACGCGCGAGACACGCAAATGACCACGCGAGTAAAAAGAGAGACTGCTCGCAGTCTATTCAGCTAATTCTGATATTATGGTAACGCTATGATTTAGAACCATAATGACATTCTTTGAGCATAAAAAACTAGACTCGCCGAAGGGCGACTTTAACTGGGCTGAAAAATCGCCCCTTCCCCGATTTTTTCTGAAGGGAGGGGGCGGCTGTACGCAGGCTACCGCCGACCATTGAGTGACGTAAAATCTTTTGTGACAGTGAAACATAACATAACAACTGTAAGCTGTAGGATGCTAAGTCACCAAACTTTATAATAGTAATTAAGTAACTTGTATGCCGTAGTATTCTATTTCCCTTAATTTGGTATTTGAAGCTCCCGGTGAAGCTTTGCGTTCTCGAAGCTTCGCCGCTTAGACTATGATATGAACTTGTGTGCGAGATTCTCAAAGTTCCTGTATTCGTCGGACGAGTCTTCTTTATCTCAATTCGAAATTTAGACCTCCAAAAACGCGCGTATGTTACATTAAACAGAAAGAAATCAATCTTTAAACAGACCCTGCGAAGGCTTTATGGATCATGCAACGCCCTCTTGGTTACTGGTTAATAATTGAGAGTGTTCATTTTTTGACGGAGAAATCTACCCATTTTATGAACTCTGTCGTGTCTTGAGGCAGCCCGTTAATGAGCACAAAAGTGAGAACGATTTTGTCGGAGTAAATTCTTGTATGCTAAAGAGAACAGTTGACTATTAGCAAAGAAAAATATATCTATAAAAAGGCACAACCACCACTTTAACGTCAATC